GCAAGCTATTACCAATGAGTGGTTCTACATCATGGCTATACTGTACAGTACATTTGTCATTTGTAGTTAATGCTCCTGAGGTCTTGAAACAAGTACACAGCAATTTCTATATCCCTCATGCTAGAAAGATATGAATCATGTTTACAAACGTGATAAGCTCCAAAGTTTGCTAACTCCACCCTTGAGAACTGGCAAAACTCCGCTTTGTTCATAGACTATGCTGTACTGTGCTGTACTGTACTGCACTGTACTGTACTGTACTGTGCTGTGCTGTACTGTACTGTACTGTACTGTACTGTACTGTACTGTACTGTACTGTACTGTGCTGTGCTGTGCTGTACTGTACTGTACTGTACTGTACTGTACTGTACTGTGCTGTACTGTACTATGCTGTACTGTACTGTGCTGTACTGTACTGTACTGTATTGTACTGTGCTGTACTGTGCTGTGCTGTACTGTACTGTACTGTACTGTACTGTGCTGTACTGTACTGTACTGTGCTGTGCTGTGCTGTACTGTACTGTACTGTACTGTACTGCACTGCACTGTACTGTGCTGTGCTGTACTGTGCTGTACTGTGCTGTACTGTACTGTACTGTACTGTGTTGTACTGTACTGTGTTGTGTTGTACAGTGTTGTACTGTGCCATACTGTACTGTAGCGTACTGTGCTGTGCTGTACTGTACTGTACTGTGTTGTACTGTACTGTGTTGTACTGTACTGTGTTATTGTTGTACTGTGTTGTACTGTGCTGCACTGTACTGTAGCGTACTGTGCTGTGCTGTACTGTACTGTACTGTGTTGTACTGTACTGTGTTGTACTGTGTTGTACTGTACTGTACTGTACTGTGTTATACTGTGTTGCACTGTACTGTACTGTGTTGTACTGTACTGTGCTGTGCTGTACTGTGTTGTTGTAATTGTACTGTGTACTGTACTGTACTGTGTGTACTGTACTGTACTGTGCTGTGTTGTGCTGTTGTGCTGTAATGTGCTGTGCTGTGTGTACTGTGCTGTACTGTGCTGTGATGTGCTGTGCTGTACTGTGCTGTGTTGTACTGTGTTGTGTACTGTGCTGTGCTGTACTGTTGTACTGTACTGTACTATACTGTGCTGTGTTGTGCTGTGTTGTACTGTACTGTACTGTACTGTACTGTACTGTACTGTGCTGTACTGTACTGTGCTGTACTGTACTGTGCTGTACTGTACTGTACTGTACTGTACTGTACTGTGCTGTGTTGTACTGTACTGTACTGTACTGTACTGTACTGTACTGTACTGTGCTGTACTGTACTGTGCTGTACTGTACTGTGCTATACTGTACTGTACTGTACTGTACTGTACATCAAAAGGTAGAGCTTTGCTCAATCTCAGCCATGGACTTTATTATTGGTAACAATCTAGTTATGCATATGGGAAACTATCCACTATGGTAACCTCACCATACACTATGATAACATCACCATACATTATAACACCACCATACACTATGGTAACATCACCACCCACTATGACAACATCACCATACACTATGATAACATCACCACTCACTATGATAACATCACCACCCACTATGATAACATCACCACCCACTATGACAACATCACCATACACTATGATAACATCACTACCCACTATGACAACATCACCATACACTATGATAACATCACCACCCACTATGATAACATCACCACCCACTATGATAACATCACCATACACTATGATAACATCACCACCCACTATGACAACATCACCATACACTATGATAACATCACCACCCACTATGACAACATCACCATACACCTGATAACATCACCACCCACTATGACAACATCACCATACACTATGATAACATCACCACCCACTATGATAACATCACCATACACTATGGTAACATCACCACCCACTATGACAACATCACCATACACTATGATAACATCACCACCACTATGACAACATCACCATACACTATGGTAACATCACCACCCACTATAACATCACCATACACTATGATAACATCACCACCTACTATGATACACTATGATAACATCACCACCCACTATGATAACATCACCATACACTATGATAACATCACACCCACTATGATAATATCACCACCCACTATGATAACATCACCATACACTATGGTAACATCACCACCCACTATGACAACATGATAACATCACCACCCACATCACCATACATGATAACATCACCACCCACTATGACAACATCACCACTATGATAACATCACCATACACTATGATAACATCACCACCCACTATGACAACATCACCACCCACTATGATAACATCACCATACACTATGGTAACATCACCACCCACTATGACAACATCACCATACACTATGATAACATCACCACCCACTATGACAACATCACCATACACTATGATAACATCACCACCCACTATGACAACATCACCACCCACTATGACAACATCACCATTCACTATGATAACATCACCATACACTATGATAACATCACCACCCACAATGATAACATCACCATTCACTATGATAACATCACCACCCACTATGATAACATTACCACCCACTATGATAACATCACCATTCACTATGATAACATCACCACCCACTATGATAACATCACCATTCACTATGATAACATCACCATACATTATAACACCACCATACACTATGATAGTATCACCATACACAATGATAACATCACCATACACTATGATAACATCACCATATATTATGATAACATCACCACCCACTATGATCACATCACCATTCACTATGATAACATCACCACCCACTATGATAACATCACCACCCACTATGATAACATCACCATTCACTATGATAACATCACCACCCACTATGATAACATCACCATACACTATGATAACATCACCATACACTATGATAACATCACCATATGTTATGATAACATCACCACCCACTATGATCACATCACCATTCACTATGATAACATCACCATACATTATAACACCACCATACACTATGATAGTATCACCATACACAATGATAACATCACCATACACTATGATCACATCACCATTCACTATGATAACATCACCACCCACTATGATCACATCATTCACTATGATAACATCACCATACATTATAACACCACCATACACTATGATAGTATCACCATACATAATGATAACATCACCATACACTATGATAACATCACCATATATTATGATAACATCACCATTCACTATGATAACATCACCACCCACTATAACATCACCATACACTATGATAACATCACCACCCACTATGATAACTTCACCATACACTATGATAACATCACCACCCACTATGATAACTTCATACACTATGATAACTTTAACATACACTATAATAACTTCACCATACACTATGATAACATCACCATACACTAAGATAACTTCACCATACACTATGATAACATCACCATACACTAAGATAACTTCACTATCCAGTAAGATAAATTCACCATACACTAAGAAAACATCACCATCCACTATGATAACATCACCATACACTATGATATCACTATACACTAGGATAACATCACTATACACTAAGATAACTTCACTATACACTAAAATAACTTCACCATACAGTATAATAACATCACTATACACTATGATAACATCACCATACACTAAGATAACTTCACCATACAGTATAATAACATCACTATACACTATGATAACTTCACCATACACTAAGATAACATCACTATACACTAAGATAACTTCACTATACACTAAAATAACTTCATCATACACTAAGATAACTTCACCATACACTATGATAACATCACCATACACTAAGATAACTTCACTATCCAGTAAGATAAATTCACCATACAATAAGATAACATCACCATCCACTATGATAACATCACCATACACTATATCACTATACACTAGGATAACATCACTATACACTAAGATAACTTCACTATACACTAAGATAACTTCACTATACAATAAGATAACTTCACCATACACTAAGATAACTTCACCATGCACTAAGATAACTTTACCATACACTAAGATAACTTCACCATACACAAAGATAACTTCACCATACACTAAGATAACTTCACCATACACTAAGATAACTTCACCATACACTAAGATAACTTCACCATACACTAATATAACTTCACCATACACTAAGATAACTTCACCATAGACTAAGATAACTTCACCATAGACTAAGATAACTTCACCATACACTAAGATAACTTCACCATACACTGAGATAACTTCACCATACACTGAGATAACTTCACCATACACTGAGATAACTTCACCATACACTAGGATAACTTCACCATAAACTAGGATAACTTCACCATACACTAGGATAACTTCACCATACACTAAGATAACTTCACCATACACTAAGATAACTTCACCATACACTAAGATAACTTCACCATACACTAAGATAACTTCACCATACACTAAGATAACTTCACACATAACACCATAAGGATAACTTCACCATACACTAGGATAACTTCACCATACACTAAGATAACTTCACTATACACTAAGATAACTTCACTATACACTAAGATAACTTCACTATACACTAAGATAACTTCACCATACACTAAGATAACTTCACCATACACTAAGATAACTTCACCATACACTAAGATAACTTCACTATACATTAAGATAACTTCACCATACACTAAGATAACTTCACCATACACTAAGATAACTTCACCATACACTAGGATAACTTCACCATACACTAGGATAACTTCACCATACACTAAGATAACTTCACTATACACTAAGATAACTTCACTATACACTAAGATAACTTCACCATACACTAAGATAACTTCACCATACACTAAGATAACTTCACCATACACTAAGATAACTTCACTATACATAAAGATAACTTCACTATACACTAAGATAACTTCACCATACACTAAGATAACTTCACCATACACTGGGTATTACCTTCAGAAAAAGTGCTCGTTCCTCCTCTTTAAAGTCTCGCTCAAGAATGTCCCACAACCAGCAGACGACACGGTGCTTGTCATGGAAGCCTCCGTAGTACAGTGTGTTCTCGCGCAGATCTTTGAGGTCCACCGCCACATTGTCACCAGAGATCAACCTCTGGAACTACAGCATGGAACAATGCATTACCACACCTATAATCAAAATGAATATATTAAAAAAAAATAATATACAAAGCCTTTTTATCTTCCTAAAGCTTAATCACTTTACACTTTTCAAAAAGAACCACCTGGTATACTAATTATTCAGATGAAATCATAAATTGAGTATTGATTCTGAAATCTCTTTTTCTGGTGGAACCCTGAGTCAGGGATAACTTACTAGGCAGTTCTTGAGCTCTATAACTGGCCGGTCACCTACACTGTCTGTCAGGGTTGATCTGTTAATGATAATGTAATTGCGCAGTCAACCTAGGATGTGTGTGTGTGGAGGTTGGTTGCCCTATGATGGGAAGGAGTAAGTCTGAAGCTCAGGTAATCCAAAAGCAGGTAAAGCAGGTCCAGGACTGGACAAACAAAGTGAATTTTGATGTGAAGCAACAAACAACTGTCTTACCCAACACATGTGGTGTTATCATGGATACTTAACACAAGTTAACACTTTGGAATTTAAAGCCCCAATAAATAAACAACTACATTCAGCATGACCTGTGATGGTCAGTAACCAAGGGATAAAAAATTACCAACCTTCATTAGCTAAAAAGAAATGAGAAAGCTTAAGAATATATGAAACTTATTTTGAAAAGGGTTGGTGTATATCAATTTTTCACAGCCTTATATCAAGCTACTTAAGGTTAGTACCCGACACTTGACCGTATGAATGTTTATACACTTAGTAGAGTTATGGCCATAATCAAATAATGGACAAAACAAACTTATTTAACAAAATAAAAGGCATTACTTGAACAACTAGTCAACACAGCTGTCAGGTATGGGAGGAGCATTCAGAATAACTGCTCGTGCACAGAGACAGTAACTAGTGATTACAGGTTTATTATTCTGATTTGTGTGCACTTTTTATTAAAGCAACTAACATCTCTGAAGACTTTACTGAACTCTAGTCTTTTCACACTGTCATCAGCCACTGAATTCACAAACTACCACTAATACCTCTGGGATGGAAAAGAGTGAAAGCCATTCGGGATTGATGATGGAACGGAAGCCTCGGATGAAGGCCTTCGTCTGGTCCTTGATCTGTGTGTGCATCTTGAAGTGTGCCATCAGGTGGATGTAGACAATCTTGTTGTCATTGGTCACAGGTACCACCTTACCCCCAGGCCGCAATTCGTGCGTGATAATCTGGCCCAAATAGTCCTCATCGTAGGAAAAGGTCAGATCTAGCTCAATTACATCCCCGTCGTAGTGCTGAGAATAGCATATAAAGCAAGTTACACAAGTAAGGTTACTTACAAGTACAGTAATAAGAAAAACATAAAAAATCATCAGACAGTGAACATATTTCATCTTAAACAAACTCAAGAGCTCAAATTTACCTCTACATTAAGTAATTAAGGAACAACAAAACTGAAGAGCCATTAATATTTATATAAAATTTAATATTTTCTTGTTTCAAGTCTAAGAGTAGTACAGTATTGTATTGTACACAGTCCTTTAAGTTTCATGTCTACAGTACCTTAATATATGTCATTGACTTGTACAGCTCTGGGTCAAGTGACGGCAGCTCATCAATGGAGGAGTAGAGAGCAGACTGCTGCTCACCCAGCACTTGGCTCAGAAAGAAGGAGGCAAAGGGGCAGTCCACCACAATACCCTGTGAGATAACTTGGTAAACACATTGTCAGAAGCCACTGTTGTCACAATCATCTTTGTCACATTTCAACATTGCATGACACTATTCATTTAAACCAATTCATTGACTGACAAAGAAAGTATGATTGGAGAGATGTGAAGCAACATTACCTGTCAACTTAACTAAAGAGAGAAAACATATTATTTACACCAACAAGAAGAGTGACCATTCTCAGCCTTTACACAGGAGGAGCATGCACGATAATATTCTAACTATCTCTTACCATCTGAATAGAGCTGAGTCAACATAAGCTCACCTCGTACACAGCTTCACCCAACATAAGCTCACCTCGTACACAGCTTCACCCAACATAAGATCACCTCGTACACAGCTTTACCCAACATAAGCTCACCTCGTACACAGCTTTACCCAACATAAGCTCACCTCGTACACAGCTTTACCCAACATAAGCTCACCTCGTACACAGCTTTACCCAACATAAGCTCACCTCGTACACAGCTTTACCCAACATAAGCTCACCTCGTACACAGCTTTACCCAACATAAGCTCACCTCGTATACAGCTTTACCTAACATAAGCTCACCTCGTACACAGCTTTACCCAACATAAGCTCACCTCGTACAAAGTTTACCCAACATAAGCTCACCTCGTACACAGCTTCACCCAACATAAGCTCACCTCGTACACAGCTTCACCCAACATAAGCTCACCTCGTATACAGCTTTACCCAACATAAGCTCACCTCATACACAGCTTCACCCAACATAAGCTCACCTCGTACACAGCTTTACCCAACATACGTCCAGTAAACTCAAATAACAGGAGGTGATTTTCTGTCATGGAGGACGTAGGAGATGGGTAGAGTCGCTCTTCGCTGGTAAGGCGGAACAGGTTTAAGGACGGGTCAAATACTCTCTTAAGCGTCTCCTCCAGGAACTCTGAGGATACAGATATATCTCCTTACAAAACTGAACACAGGAACCTCGGGGTATATGCTGAGTTTTCTGTGGTTCAGTACCGTGCACCCATAGAGAGTATTGTATATTGTTGTAAGTGAATAGAGAGTATATTTCATTGGTTTAGTAATGTTTTTCACCATTGTATGTGTATTTAAAGAAGAGCATACTGAAATACCATAAATGTTTGTGTTTATGGGTGACCCAAGTACCTCAATACTATTCCCAGTTTGACAATTTGTGGGGTCTGTGGAACTTAACCCCCGAGAACAGCAAGGGTCAACTAGTAAGCTATCAATTTCATGGTCAGGCAAAATCAGTATTTAATAATCTAAAAGACCTAATGAAAAGGGACATTAACTTCAATTAGAGAAAAAGGCTGCTGAAAGGTTATATATGACAAGGACTGATGTATGGGTCAGAAGCGTAGAGACTTCAACACACACCAGAAAGAGGATGGTGGCCTTTGGAATGTGGTGTTACAGGCAAATGCTAAGAATAATTTACAGTGAGAGGAAAACAAATGAAGAAGTATTATGGTTAGCAAAAACTTCAAGAGAAATACTTGAAGTGCATAGAAAAAGAAAATGAGATACCAGGGGCAGATCCATGGGGGTCCTGGAGGTCTGGACCCCCCTTTTTCATCAGAAAATTTCAATAATTTTTCATTAATGCAACATTTTTCTCAGGCATTTTTGTACAGTACAGTAAAAGATATTACTATTGACTTCAGAATAATTCCTAATATCAAGTGCACATGGTTTCAAAATGCCTATGATATTGATCAGATTTCAAAAAAATTATCTGGGGGAAGTTTACAGCACCCCCCACCCCCTGCACCCTGATGTTTAAGGTAGTCTACATTCCACCTAACACTACCTCTATCATCCCACCCATAGTTCAAGGTGCTATTGCTGCTTTTAAAGCGTATTATTTATGTACGACCTTCGCTCAGGCTATTGCTGCTACTAAAGTTGAGAAAACGCTCAGAGAGTTTTGGAAGGACTACAACATTTTTCAATGTATAAAGAACATAGCTGCAGCATGCGATGAGGTTACAGGTCAGTGCATGAATGGAATATGGAAGGTCCTGAAAAAATATGTGAACAGTTTCAAAGGATTTAATGAAGATAAAGTAATTTCTGAAATTAGTAACAAGATAGTGGAGTTGGGTAAACAGCTGGAGTTAGAAATTGATAATGAAGATGTTGAACAGTTGGTGGAAAGTTTAGCAGAAGAGCTAAGTAACGAGGATCTTATTGAACTGGATGCACAGAAAATTGCAGAGGAAGAAGAGAGACAAAATGTAGAAAAAGAACCTGCACCCCCCAAAAGGTTTCAGTGAAACAAATGGCAGAGGCATTTGCTACTACAGTATTAATAAGGGGATGCAAATGTTTGAAGAAATGGATCAAAATGTTGAGCATTTTGCAAAAGGTGACAGACTGATCTAAGATGCACTTGCTTGCTACAGGGAGATTTACAATGAAAAGAAAAGGCAAACTGTGCAGTCTAAATTGGACATATATTTTAAGAAGTCCCCCACTGCTGTCTCCTTACGCCCTTCACTCCCTAAAGATGATCCAATACCTTCAACAAGCAAGTATGTTAGCCTGTCTGAAGAAAGCAAAATTGATGACCCACCCAGCCCTGTCTCCTCCTCTGCTTCACCCAATTAATGTAGTCTCCATGTTTAATTAAAAATTATTGAGGCCCTGTGTGCATTCAGCTGACTACATTAAAGGTAAGTGCACAGTAACACTTTATTAATTTTTCATTATTTATATATATATATATATATATATATATATATATATATATATATATATATATATATATATATATATATATATATATATATATATATATATATATATATATATATATATATATATATGCTGAGAACCACAAGGAAAGTAGAAAACACGAAGTTCCTAAGCAACAGCAGAGGGAGTGAGACCTGGTCTCACCTCTCTGTATATATACACCTTGGGATTTGTATTACTCTCTAGTCTGTACTCCACCCTGAAGATGTGAATTATCTATATCGGACTTACGACCTGATTTAGTCCCAATAATGTATATATATATATATATATATATATATATATATATATATATATATATATATATATATATATGTATATATATATATATATATATATATATATATATATATATATATATATATATATATATATATATATATATATATATATATATATATATATATATATATATATATATATATATATATATATATATATATATATATATATATATATATACACACACACAGGTTGTACCTCTCTAGTCCGGCAACCTCGGGACCTGACGGTGCCGGACCATGGAAATTCACCCTTTTCCTGGATAGATAGTGACTTGTGCTTATGCCTGGAAGCACTAGCACCACTTTCTCTGCATCATGGTCTCTTTGAAGACATATTGAAGGGTTAAATGTCGTATAGTAGCTTCTCAAATTTCGCGAGTTTTTAATTCTTAACGTATTTTATTGGAACACACAAAAAAATAAATAAATACAAATTTTGACGGCGGAAACTTGAATTTCGACGGGTTTGAACGGCCCGCCAACGTGCAGACGACGTGCATAATCGTGTAAACAGCGTCATTTCTCTTATGTACAAAAGATTCATTATTGTTTATTACTGAATGTCTTTTTTATTGAATTAATGTTTATGTGTGCAAAATGAGCAATACAATTCATTAATAATATGTAGAATATTAAAACACACGAGGAAATGACACAGCATTGTTTTCGTTGATTACAAAACCAGTGACTGACTGGTTCTACATATAAAACTGAAGAAAATAAGACCTTGGTTGTAGCTGTAGTAAAATTAATATGGTTGTTTTAAGTAATGTTATTTAATGTTAATAAATGGAACAATAGAAGTAGCTAACGATAATGGTAAAGAAAAAAGAGAGATCGCATATGTAAGTGCGCATGCGCACACGTGAAAACATATCATCATTACTTTACATAAGAATATGAAAGCAACACTTATTTACTGTTCATATATATTTTAATTAATGTTTCTGAATTTGTTTTTATTGAATTAATGTACGTGTGTGCAAAATTAACAATACAATTTATTAATAATACGTGGAATATTAGAGGAGACGAGACGGCTGCCGGCATTGTTTATGTTAAAGCTTACGAAACCAGTGACTGATTGGTTCTACATATAAAACTGAAGAAAATAAGACCCTGAGTTTAGCTGTAGTAAAATTAATGTAAAAAAATGAATATGGTTGTTTGAAGTACCTGTAATGTTATTTAATGTTAATAAATGGAACAATATAAGTAGCTAACCATTAATGGTAAAAAAAAAAAGTGAGACTGCTCGTATGTAAGTGTGCACATGTGAAAACATATCGTCATTACTCTACATAAGAAAATGAAAGCAACATTTATTTACTGCTCATACATATTGAAGGGTTAAATGTTGTACTCTGTATAGACAAGCAGAGAGAGAGAGAGAGAGCAGCCGAACTGCCGGATGTAAACAAACCTTAATTTCCCGTGACTTTTTTTTTTTTTAAGGGGATTAGCCCACCCGGGCATAGGTCACTGACCCACATTGGGGCCTGAGGGGCAAAAATTGAATAGTCCTGTAATAATAATTCAGATAAGTTAAAAAAAAAAGAGCTGCCTATCTACCTATTGGACAAACTAAAATCGTACCGGACCACGGGAGTTTCCGGACCACAGAATGCCGGACTAGAGAGGTACAACCTGTATATATATATATATACAATAGCTATTACAAAGCAAGCATATACAGTACTGTACAGTGACCCCTCGTTTAACGAACACCTCGGTTAACGTAATTTCGATTAACGAACTGCCTTCCATAAGGATCTTCAATTCGGTTAACGAACAAAAATTCGGTTAACGAATTTCTTACGAACCGACCTCAACATGTTTTTGCTTGCACTGGCCGGGCAACCAGCTTTAGTATCAGTCCGCCAATACATTAATCGGTTCTAGGGCTTAAATTCCTTACTATTTTAGTAAATATCAAGAAGTTTATACTATTCAATAATTTTAAAAGTTTAATATTCAATTTTTTAGTCATTTTAACAATTATTGAACATAATTGAAGGTAAAGTGACTAGTTTAATGCGCGGCATCCAGCCTCTTAACACAGCAAACAGGCGTTAGTCTCTCTCTGTTTTCACTGGAGGTAACATCTTGCTTGAGACTCTCTTCAACTAAACGCTTTTTTTCTGTGTTTCCAAGCAAATTATTGGTCATTTTGAAATATATTTTACATATTGACAATATATAATGCAGTGCAGTGTTGATTTAAAGAAAATAATCTTGAATTACACCAGAGAGCTAAAATTTTATGGGTGAAATGGCGCCATGGGGTGACTTCTCTTCCACCCCAATGCCTTCTCTTCTTCCTTCTCCTCCACCCCCATTCTAAATCCCATCATCATCATCCAGGAGCCTTCTACATACACACCTCAAAGTAAGTGAACTTTTCTACCATTTTTGTTGAATTTAGGAAATTTTCAGCGAGCTGGAACCAATTACCCAAAAACCCATTGAAACAATGGTTTCGGTTAACGAACTTTTCGGTTAACGAACGACCTTCTGGAACGGATTGAGTTCGTTAACGGAGGGGTCACTGTATATGTGTATGACTTTTGTAACTGAAACAGTGAAATATAAGGAATTAAATCACCTTTGAAAACTCCATCTTGGTCAATGCCAGCTTCATCTAAGCCTTGTTCATTGATGAAACGGACCCGTATCATGCCCTTGAGTGATCGAGGAGAGAGAGATGCCAGCTGTCTATATCCATCCTCAACAAGGCGAGAACTGTGTAATAAAATCACATTTGTCAGTAACAGTGGTCATCTTTGGCTGCCACAACACACAGGAACAGTACTACATCTTTGATTAGTAACACCATGTTCAACAAGTATGCACTCAAGCATGCACGCACGCATACACGCCTGCACGCACACGCACACTTGAGGTCTTTCATGTCAACACCTACGGACGAGTTACTGCACTACGTGACCTCACACAGTATGGCAAGAGACCAGCCCTGGCCATCAACTGTAAACTATAATAATTTGTATGTTCAATTCATGTTCCTCCTCCTTTTAGTAATGAAAGATTTTGTTAAACAACCCAACAACCTCATGTCTTGTATGTAATAAGTAATTTGTCTAATGTAGGCTATAGTTTTATCCTTCAGGCTTTTTTTTTTTGTTTTTTTGTTTTTTACGGACATTAGCCCACCCGAGCACAGGTCATTTTATGACCTACATCGAGGCCTGATGGGCAAAAATATAATAAAGTACAGTAGAGTCGGGATATATCGCGAGATAGGGGTCCAAGGATGTTCGTTATATACTAAATCGCGATTTATAATTACATGTAATCAATGGGGAAAATAGGGTTAGGTTCTGGAGGCCAAAAAAGGTGACTAAACTTGACATAAAATGGCACACTCTAAAGTTAGCAGAATATTATTAGCATTTCTGGAATCCTTGCAAAACAGCGAATAATTTGAATATAAACGTCATATATTTTGCACAAGAGATAAAAATTAATCCCCTGTATCACATTACAGCAGTGATTTATGAGTTCTAGAATATATGTACGTATATATACAGCATTGTCTGCATTTATGCGGATTTGGTTTACGCATTTGGTCATTTACTCGGCACCTTGCCAGAATGAAAATTTTAAGTTACGCGGTTCATTCCATTATTTACGCAGGAAGCGGCGCCCGGAGGGTGCGCATTAGGTCGCTCTTACGTTATTGCTGACATCATATGACGTATCGGACTGTGATTGGGCCAGCATCCTTACCTCCCTCCGCCGCTAGCTGTGATTGGTCTCATGTAACATCACGTGCCCTGCCACCAGAGGGAAGAAGTCGCTGACCTAGCGGGGCCTGTCTCGTTGTTCTCAGTTCTCCGCGTACAGTATACTGTTCTCTCTTGTGCCCGCTATTCCCCTCACAATGGCTTCCGCTGGACCCCCACCAAACCCCGAGAAACCTTGAACTACCTGGTAAAAGCCATGGTTATGTGAAGGAGTCATCGAGTTGGGGGAGAAAATCAAGCTCATCCTTGACAAAGACACAGTCAAGCATCGGTATGAAGTGTCTAATAACCTTCTGTCGAAAATTATGGAGCCGTATGTCCAGATGTATCACGACAACATCAATGCTAGTCTCGCCCGCAACCCACCACAGCCAGCCCAAGTCAGTGATAGTGACAGTGAGGATATGGACTTTGAGGGGTTTGTCAGGGAGGCCCTGCAAACTCTGTGTGTGATAGTGATTCACCGGAGGGCCACTAATCTGCCCTCTGCCTCGGAACCAGCTGCCATCCACGTGTGCCGACCCACCTCTTCTACTAACGTAAGTGTTAAACACCTTTAGATTTGTAGTTTTGCATTTAGATATTATGTGTGTGTCAATACCATCATAAAATTATGATGTAATTTTTACTGCAAGGTAAATTAATCCCATATGTTCTGTTATTTCGTTTACGCGTTTCTCGTTTTACGCAGACCTCCACGGGTTCAATTGACCGCGTAAATGCAGATTATACTGTATAGTGATTTAAGGGCGATTTAGGAGTGTTTCTGACTTTACACGAGGTCCCAGGAACGTAACCCTCCCGCAGGTTGCGAGTCTGCTGTATATTGGAAAACTTTGATAATTTTGGTAGTACTGTAGTGATAAATTTGAAATATTTCCTGCACGATTTCCCTCGCAAAATAAAAAAAAATCATTGCTATATACAGTACAGTTGTACCCCACTTAACGCGGTCAATTGAACCCAGAGGGTCCCGCGTTAAGTGAAATCCGCGTTAAGTGAACAACAGAACATATGGGATTAATTCCAATAGAAACCGGCCCGACCCCCAAACTCCACTTTTTGAAGGCACATACCTATGTTGTAGTAAAAATAACATCTTAATTTTATGATGGTACATGCACACAATTAATACTTAAGAGAAATAGAGAAATACAGTCGCCAAGTTAATGTCCATTCAAATAATGGACTCAACTCCCTCCCCCTCTCACACTACACAGCCGGCTAACAGATGGTCGGTCGGTCCCTCCCTCCCCCCCCCATCCCCCACCAACCGTCCCAAGGAGATGTGTGGGATAACCTCAAACTAAAGTTAGGAAAATATAATTGACATTGCTGGATTCCTTGTAAGACCAGGAATATTTTGAATATAAATGTCATATATTTTGGACAAAAGATAACATAGTTACCTAGAGAAAAATTTTTATCTAAAAATTGTAAGTTTAAAGCAAAATATATGTTTATATTCAAAATGATCACCAAATTATAAGAATTCCAGCAATGTAAATTATATTCTGACCGGGTAATTTGTATGAATTTTATGAGCTAAAACAAATATCTTCAGTTAATAAAAAAAATAATAATCTTCACGACACTATCTGTCAATCAAAGTACCCCACCTTGCCTCCCCCCCTCTTCCAACCGCGCGGTCAGTCCCAACCCTCCCCCCCACCCCCCACCAATCCTCCCTTCCAGAGTTTTTAACATTTAGTATTAAATAATACCTCAGATTAAAGTTAGGATAATATAATTGACATTGCTGGATTCCTTGTAAGACCAGGAATATTTTGAATATAAATGTCATATATTTTGGACAAAAGATACCATAGTTACCTAGAGAAAAATTTTTATCTAAAAATTGTAAGTTTAAAGCAAAATATATGATGTTTATATTCAAAATGATCACCAAATTATAAGAATTCCAGCAATGTAAATTATATTCTGACCGGGTAATTTGTATGAATTTTATGAGCTAAAACAGGCAGTCAGGCAGGGTGGCGGGTGGGGCAAATCTAAAAATAGCGTCTCGGACACTCACCGCGTATATGTGGAAAAAACCCGCGTTAAGTGAAAGTTCAGCTTTGGCAAGGCACCACGTATATGCGAAAACGCGTTAAGTGAAAGCGCGTTAAGCGGGGTAAAACTGTATAGGAAAATGTCGATAATTTTGGTAGCTGCAATATAAAAAAATCTTTATATTAAGTCGCTATATATCCCGACCCTACTGTAATAATAATAATAATAATAATAATAATAATAATAATAATAATAATAATAATAATAATAATATTAATAATAATAAAAGTACGTAATAAAATTTAATATAAATTATAATAATAATAATAATAATAATAATAAAGAGCATTAAATAAATAAATAAATAAAAAATATACTAAGAGTGAAACAATATATGTACGTTGTGTTGTCAATAGTAAGAGAAACAATTGAGACCCTGCAATTGTGTGTAAATGAGGCAGAAAGTCAGATCAGCAACTTGGGACTTGGTCACAATTTTTGTGATGCCATTGGCAGCAGGGTCTACCATTAAACAACACATTATGCTTCCAATATCTTCCCAGGTAGTAGTACCTCCCTGTTTGGTAGCTGCCTACTACCTGCTGAACTTTTACAATAAATCATTAATTATTATTATCACACACACACACACACACACACGCACTACTTTGCTGTCACTCGGAATCAAGTATGACGACCATTCAGCTGTGATAAAATCATATGAGTTATTAAGGATGTCACCCTCTTTGGTGAGCTCTGAGGTGACTAGAGAGGTCGATATGGGACCGGCAGGATCGTTCACAGATGTTGCACATGTGGAGGGTGACATCTAGTGCGGGAGGGGCGGCGGCAGTGTCTGTCTCGGTTTGCAATCGGGCTAAATCGAAAGTATTGACACGGGCTAAATCGAAAGTATTGACACCTTCTCGTGTGGTGCTCCTCCAAGCGTTACGGTGTGGAGTAATCGATCGTCTCCCAGGTGAGTGGGTCGATTTGGCACTTTTCAAGTTTGTCTTAAGACTATTCTTATACCTTTTCAGTTGCCCGTCAGCTTTACGTTTACTAATCGTTAGGTGACTGTAAAGTAGCTGTTTTGGCAGTCTACTGTCGTCCATGTGGGTAACATGGCCAGTCCAACGTAGGTGTTCATTGATAATAGTAGCCTCAATGCTCCTACAGTTGGTGTCAGCGAGAATACTGGCATTAGTTCTCTTGTCTTCCCAGCGAACTTGGAGGATGGAACGTAGACTACGTTGGTGAAAGTTTTCAAGTGCCTGAGGTGCCTCCTGTATGTGACCCATGTCTCACTGCCATATAGCAGGGTGGGGAGGACCACTGCTCAATATACATGCAACTTTGTAGATAATTTCAGCTCCCTACAGCTGAAGACACGGGTATGGAGTCTGCCAAAGGCTTGAGATGCACATCTGATCCGATGTTGAATCTCTTCATTATCGATGTTCATGGTGGTGGACAGGTGTGAGTAGAGATACTGGAAGTGGGTAACATTAGTGAGGGTGTGGAGGTGTGATTGAACCAGGGGCAGGCTGTAAGAAATCTGAGACTTACCTACATTCACCCCATGGCCGAAGTATGCATACACATCTGTGTAGGTGTTCAAGTACTCCTGTAGGTCGTGTTCAGTGTTAGCGACGAGGGTGGGATCTGCAAACTAAAGTTCAGTAATGGAAGCAACCGACACTTTTGTTCCTGCCTGGAGTCGTCTTATGTTGAAAAGATCCTTCATCCGGTACTGGATGTCCACCCTCCAGGCTAAATTGGCACTGGCATGAGTAAGGAAGGCTGCCAAGAAAATGAAAGAGAGCTGGTGCCAGTACACATCTTTGTTTTACCCCCGTTTGGATGGGGAAGAGCTCTGACTGGGTGCCATTGTGCAAGACACTGCCGTTCATACCATTGTGGAGTTGCCTCACAATGGCAATGAATTTTGATGGGCAGCCAAAATGGCTGAGAGTCCACCAGAGGGCATACCTGTTGACCGAGTCGAAGGCCTTGGTAAGGTCAATGAAGGCCATGTATAGGTCTCGACGCTGTTCTCTGCACTTTTCCTGCATATGGTGGGCAGCAAAGATCATGTCAGTGGTGCCACGTGATGGTCTAAAACCACAATGAGATTCTGGGAGGAAATTTTCCGCCTCAGGAAGAAGTATGTTTAAGAGGACTTGGGCGATAATCTTGCCAGCTAAGGAGAGCAGCGAGATCCCACGGTAGTTGCCACAGTCTGACCGGTCTCCCTTGTTCTTATAAATTTTGATGATAGAGGCGTCTTTAAGAGTTTGGGGGATTTCTTCCTTGTTCCATATATTCTACAGGAGAGAGTGGAGACGGCTGGTAAGCAGAGGTCCTCCTGCTTTATACACCTCAACTTGGATTCCATCAGGCTTTGTTATTTTTCATTTGCTTGATGGCATTAGCTACCTTATCCAGGGATGGAGGATAGCTGAGGGGGGGCAGCTCTGGGTGCTGAGGTACCTTCTGGGTAGTCAGGACATCTACATCAGTGTTTCGGTTGAGCAGCGAAAGGAAGTGCTCTTTCCAGCACTGACAGATGCCTTCTTCGTCTTTAATTTGGGAGTTACCGTTGGATGAGCGATGGGGGGCTGTGCCATGAGTGATTGGCTCATAAAATGTTTTAGTGGAATTGAAAAGTTCACGTATCTTGTGTTGATCTGCAAGTTTTTGCATTTCAAATGCTTTATTTTTAAACTAGTCATTCTTTAGATTGTGAAGTTCATGCTGGGCTGCCACTTTCTTCTTGTGGAAGGTATCAGTTTTGGTCTGAGACTGAAGGTTGGTCTGCCAGTCAGTTAAAGCAGCATGTTTATCATCGACGAGCACGTTGATTTCTGGGTCTCTGCAGGTTTTTGTCATGATAGTGTAAAAAATATCCCATTCGGCACTGGGATTCGGGTTGTTTGTTGTCTGGTTGTTTATCAGCCCATGTTTGAGCTGCTCTCTGAAAGCATGTGCTACTGCTGAATCCTCCAGAAGCTTGGCGTTAAAAACCTCTTTTGGAGGCTTGCGGCCTTCGCCGTTTTGAGGCAACATGAAGGGAGAGTTTGGATTTAACGAGCCACGCATGACTCGGGTGATGAGGACATCTTGGCAATCTCTTTCTCTGACAATGATGTAGTTAATGAGATGCCAGTGTCTGGATCATGGGTCCCAAGAACCCCTGAACTTGTCGGCCTGCCTGAACAAGGTATTGGTGATAGTGAGGTTGTGTGCAGCACACTTGCTGAGGAGGAGTAGGCCATTGGGATTACACTTGCCTATTGCATTTTTTCCTTTGATTCCATGCCATATGTCAGAATTTCTTCCAACTCTGGCATTGAAGTCACCTACAAGCACAACCTTATCTTCTCTGGGGATAGAGGTCAACATAAAAGGCCTCCTTGATGTCATCTTCTGCATCCAGTGTTGAGGCGTATGCATTGATGAAGAAGGTATGACGTGAGTGATTCAGTGGGACCTGGAGCATCATGAGGCGCTTGTTGATCCCAATAGGCATTTCAGTTAGCCCGTGTAGGATGCATTGGTGAATGGCAAAGTCAACTCCATAAATGTGGCTTTTCTCCGCAGCAGACCTACCCTTCCAGAAGAAGGTAGAGCCAGACCCCCGTTCTGTGAGTTGACCCTCGTCTGGGAGCCGGGACGCACTAATGGCTGCTATGTTGATGTTATACCTAGACAGCTCTTTTGCCACAAGGGAGGTTCTTCTTTCAGGATACGCATTTGTGCCATTATCCAGAAGGGTCCTGACATTCCATGCAGCGACCATAAGAAGTTGTATACAGTAGTTTGTTTTTTCTTTTATCTGTTTTATCTGTTTTCAACCACATTAGGATGACCTTACTGGGTGTGGTTGCCCAGTCAGGTTGGTTTTTTAGGCAGATTAAGTTTAGGGCATCTTTTCTAGCCCCCTCCGCATGTGGGTTGAGCAGTGTGGCTCTTGGAAAGGGCTGCTTAGATCCCAGTGCATAAATGACCACCTTATCTATACCGCCCATGTGTAGGGTTGTGACTAGAGACTCCCGGCAGTCATCTCTGGCTGTCCCCGTCGCCACTCATCTGTCGCCATAGGATTATTGGAAGTATTGGGGTTTTGATGATGATGAAAAGTATAATGGGCTGGATGATGGCTGCATGTGAGTTGATTTATGTGATGAGGCAGGAGCCCAGATTGTTGGATTTCACTTTAGTAGCAGTGTCCATCATGCATTGCCTTCATCCGCCGGTGTAGTCATTGGGTTCCTATGATGGTCACCTCTTCCGCCTATACTGCCGTTAGGGTCTAGCTCTGTAAGCATGTCTGCCTGATGCGGGGCTGCACAGCAGATTGTTCATTCAGGGTTTACTCCCGTAGCCTTATATCTACCAAGGTTAATCTGCAAGGCAGCGAGGCAGTGGCTGGTAGGTGCCAGGATGTGTCCATATATCAGTGGGCCTATGCGCCGTTCCTCTGAACCCAAGAGGCACCCAGTTACCGTGTGTTGCCACGAGGAGACACAACAGGAGTCTTGATGGTGAAGAGGCTGTGTACTGGCAGGGAAAGACTTATGCAAGTTGCTTCCCTGTTCGCCACAAGAGCTAGCCAGCAGCGGCAGCTGAAAGTGAGAGGAAGCAAGCAGTGCTTGCTGCCACACTAGATGCATTACATCACCTTGTGTGTGTGCACACACAAACACACACACACACACACCGAGAAATATAAGTACAGGGTGTTACGACCATGTCGTATTTTTCTCTTCTTTTTGTATATAACATGCTTCCATGTTGTTTCATATTATTCCTGTAATGATGTGTTATATTTACTATTATATAATCTAGTCACCTTACCCTGTGCTGTTAAGGTCTTAACTGTCATTATTTGTTCAAGCCCATCATATTTCTTCATTTAATATTGTAACAAGCATTCTTTGTTTCTCTAACGACCATCTGCATCGTTAAACGACCCATGTTTCACCAGCTGGTCGCATTGGCGGGAGCTGACCCTATATATAGTAGTCACCAGTAGACGGAGGGCAGTCCAGTCCTCTCGTCATTCAGTTCACGTTCTTTTGAGTGACACTTGTCACCTGTTACTTATACTTCATTTTATTTCTGTGTTGTTCCTGTCGCCACCAATGTGGTATATCTATGTGAGTACCTATTTATGTCTCTGTTTGTGTCCATCAGTATTTGCTTAGTTACATTTAAGTAATTCAGTGTTAACGTAATCCTGTTCCGATGTTTTAGTATCATTTGTGTCTTAAAGGTTTCGATAGTGAATCAATTTGTTGTGGCAGCCTACGAGGCTCTTTATTGTGTAATATTTAATTTAATTAAATTCTTAAAGGTTTACTTTATTTATTTTTATTACCTTTTGATTTATTTCACTTTTCTTTTTGTTTGGTTACGCCTAGAACCTGGATATTAAAGTAAATTAAGAGACGGCGTAACAAGGGTCAAAACTTTTAAGTAAGTTAAAACATATATTAGTTATTAATCAAATTATAAATACCATTGACTCAATACTAAAGAACTGTCATAACTTTCCCCATGTCTGCCTGCCAGCCAGTCAGCTGCCTTACTACGAAAAGATCCCAGGCCTTAGTTGCAAGCTTGTAGTGAACACACTACAGGCAGATAGCTTGACCATTACCTTATTATGATCATTAACCCACATCTTACATCATCATCAACAACCTCATTAAAGACCATCAATATGTTAGATCAACAAATAACATTATCAAGTGGTGTTAGTGTTCATAAGGAAGGTGTGAACAGTACAGGTGGTGTGTTCACTCCACCATACGGTACACCACTATGTTCATCCTCTCACTACATACTACAGTATAGTACTATAATTGATTATATCGTCATCAGTTACAATAATAATAATAATAATAATAATAATAATAATTAACGGTTTATTGAAAAAATTCTGCAGCCCGAAGGCTGAAAATAAATATTGGACATAAATGACTTATTACATACATTGGTAGTTTAACAAAAGCCTTCATTAGAGAAAGGTAAAGGAACATACAGTGAACATACAGATTAATGTAGGTGTTGAACAGCAAACTCGTAGTGTAGTAACTCCCTCCCAGATGGTGTTAGGAGGAACTCACGTGGTGTAGTAGTTCCCTCAGATGGTGTTATGAGGGACTTGGCGTGGTATGATGTCTGGTTGTATGGCAACCAAGAGATACAGTAGACTCGCAACTTACGGGAGGGAGGTGAAGTGATATGTTTGACAGTTGGCACCGAAGGTCTAGTGCGTGTTTATTTATCAGTCCTTAAGAGTGACTAAGTTTTTATCTTATAAAATGTCACTGAACTGACCTGGGAGAATATAACTTACATTGTTGCGATTCTTGTAAGATAGTGATTAATTTAAATATAAACATAATATATTTTGCACTAGACCTAAAAAATTTGAAAATTTTGAGCTTTAAATTGAAAATTATAACCTAATCCCAGGGGTAATCCGCTTATAGTTGAAAAGGCATAAGAAAAATACACGTAAGTTGCGAGTCTATTGTACTTCAATATTGTTTACTCTTTGTTTGTGGCGATGTGTACAGTATTGTATAACAACACTTGAAACTTGTTCCTCACCTAAATCTGTCTTCTTTCTTTCCAACATTATTTTGTTTCCTCTGGGAGCTGATGAACAGCTGTGCATATACAAACTCCACTAAGACTCACTCAACTCACATTTCATGTAGCTTATTGGTTCATGGACAAGTAAGTGTGTTCGTATCATCTTACCGGTGTACTGTGATGAGGGTGGAATGAGGAGTCGCACAGGCAGCATCAGTTAGCCCTAAAACAAGCTTTTCATTATTGACATGTTTTCTGAAGAGTAGAACTCTCTCTGTGTGAGGGATTATGTGTGGCATTTTCTGCATCAGCACCTGCAATAGATGGATAACTTAAATAATTGACCACCTAAAACAAGACTCATCAAATTGTTCACAGGATAAAAGACCACCATGTTCCACACACTAGATACAGTACTGAGGTTAATGACTGAATACAATATAAAAGTGTATGTCATACTGGGAGTATAATAAGGGCTCAACTGAGGGGATGGCAGCCCAGTTGTTAACTCAATCATATAACCATTCTATTTTATCTAAATAAAATATATTTTAACATCAACTTTAAAATTATTCCCTCAAGCATCAGAAGAATATACCATTATGCAGTTATTGTATATCATTACTATTTCACAATTTTTACAGAAGGGGGTGGGACCAGACCTTACCCCCCCCCCCAGTGAGTACAGTACAACATACTGCACTCTCCTCATCTTCATGTTATAAACTATTGATCCAAGGCTCTACACAAGAGTCTCCTAGGTAAGGAACTACTGTACCTGTATAGTATCAGGTTAGGTCTGTTCTCTCAAACTTTACTAATGAGGCCTAGGGTCAGTTTGCAGCAAGGCAACTAATTGGCTGGTGGACAGACATGCGAAGAGTTGTTTAGTACTGTATGGCAGGCATGGGCAGCCCGTGGGCCACATGTGGCTCAAACCATATCTTTGTGCGGCCTGCAGAGTGATTGAAAAATTCTATTTAATGTGGCCCATGTTTCATATAGATGCAGCCAGTTTATGGTGACTAAAGCAATATTTATTAAAAGGATAATCTTCACACACACAATTCATTACTGTTTCATCACCTAAGAGTAAGTAACTACTAAAATGTAATAGTGAAATAAGTATAAATAGTCAACAATATAAAGATTTAACTTGTGTGTGTTTATGGGACAAGTTCAGCACGGTCTGTTTGATGGATTAGCTATGTGGCAGTGGGTCATTTGAGAGTTAACTAAGGTTGGCTGAGTCCAAGTGGGGTTATGGGTGGTGGTCACACAGGTCAAAGGTAAAGGTCTCTTCCTTGTTGACAGATTATCTCTCCATAGTGCCTCATCCTTCATGCCTGGTGTCTGTTCTATCTACTTATTCTTGTCTGCATTGCATTGCAGACTATCTTACAAAGATTCCAGCAATGAAATTTATATTCTGCTAAGTCTACTCAACTACATTTTATAAGATAAAAGCTTTTAGCCTAAACAGCCTTCATCCTGGCTGGGAGGAGGGGGGGGGGATGGGGTTGACGTTGTAGTATCTTACATGATTTAATGGGAGAATGAGAAGCCACATGCTGAGTCTTACTCATGGCGTTTATTCTCTGTTGTTGTGTACTACCAGCCTAACACATTCGTGATTACACAGGCCTAAACACATCCTAACTTTGGCAAGAAGTAACATAATATATAATGTGTATATAATCAATAAAGGCAGCATATAAACATACTTATATATAACACTATTTCTCCCTTTCAAAAGAGAGCATGGCTGCTACAAATCCTAAATAAACAAAACTTACAGAATTACATATGGCAGGGAAGAAGGGAATAGAACACAACAAATATAACTTCCTTACTAAACAGTTTTGAAAGGCCTGTTCACAATTCAGATAATCAGAGGTCTAATTTAATTACAGGTCACCTAACTCTGCTCGATCTTCTCGGACTATTCCCTCCATCAAGCTTTACAGGGGTTTCACATGCACTCTGTGCATTATCAGTGACAGACATATCATCACTACAGTCAGTTGACACAGTGAGTGGATGCTGGGAAACATCTTTGACCTCATCATCATGATGATCATCTGCAACTGTGTCAAGTTTATCATCATGTCCTGGTGCTACATTCATCTCGTCATGTGCCTGAATGATGTGATCCACATGAACAGATCTCAAGGAGTTACCACATTTCACTAAATATGTCCTAGATCCACATACCTTGTCAATGACACCAGTTATCCACTTTGCATATACAGTACCATAACCTTTAGCCATGTTCTTAACTCTCACCCTATCATTTACCTTGAACACTCTTTCACTGGAACTCTTATCATGATACATTTTTTGTTGAGCTTGTTTCCTCTCTACAACTTCAAACAGACTTGGCATAACTAAACTTAATCTTGTTCTCAGCTGTCTCTTCACCATTAACTCTGCAGGAGTACATCCTGTCACACTATGTGGTGTGGTTCTGTATCTGAGTAAGAAATTTGCTAGTCTGTGTTTCATTGATTTTCCTACAGTTCCTTGAATTACCTGCTTGGAAAGTGCTTCCTTTACAATTCTAACTAACCTCTCAGCTGCACCATTAGAGGCAGGATGATAGGGTGGGGTCAGTACATGCTTTACACCATTGAGTCTCATGTAGTTTTTAAATTCTGATGATTGGAATGGAGGACCATTGTCAGATACTACCTCTTCTGGTATTCCATGTTCAGCAAATATTAATCTTAATTCATCAATGGTGCTACCAGCATTAGTACTGTACATTAGGGGGGCAGGGAAAAAACACTTTTATTTGAGTTGCAGGCTGCACTTTTCAGGCATCGTTTGTATGGCTGTAACAAACACCTGTGCAAAATTTCATGCCATTTCATGCATACTTACCCTGCCGCATCGCGAACGACTTTTTGTCAACTTTTAGTGTATACCAAAAATTAGGTGTCATTTAATGTTTTCCAGGATAATGATAAATTTTACATGGGTGACATCGATTTAATTCACATGTTATTTTACAGGTACACCGTATAGAAAATCATTACAAGTTCATATTGAAATTCTTTTTTGTGCGGAACCTTGGCATCATTTTCCTAGACAATAATCTTTGCCTAATATACCCATCTCTCGATTTGTATCCCGTCACTTCAGAGAAGCAATGTAAGGAGGCTCAGTCTTGAGTTCATTCCTCCAGTTAATCATGGAATGATAGTTTTTTGCTTGCCACTTTAGTTTCGGAGTCACCACCTTTCTCATGTTGACTACAGGAGGCACATCCTCATTCCCATCTCCATCTTTACCCTCCTCATCAGTATAGTTTAACAAATTCTCGTCAACAGCAGCATCAGAATCTTCCTCCTCCTCTTCAGATCTGCCAGTGCATTCTTCCTTTTGCTGATTCTCCTCTCTAATTTTTCTTATCATTGAGACAGCTTTTTCTCTAACAGTCATGTCCTCATCTGCACACATACCAAGAAGAAGTTGATCTGTGTGGGCGAAGTATGCATTTCTCTGGACAGCCTTCTTCACTATCGTCTCCTCCTCACTATTCAGGTGTTTCATATATAGCAGGGACTGGAATACGTTCCTTGAGCCGTGTGTTACGTAAGGGTGTATCTTGATGTAAAACCACATTGGAGCACTGAACTTTATTATTGTAATGACAATTCTTTTCAACTCATGGCTGGGTCTTGATGTTGCTACATACAGCCTGAGGATTCTACTCCATAAGGTGTTCCACCTTGACACACAGGGAGGACCTGGCTCAATAGCAGCCAAGTCATCTTCAACAACACCTGTGATAACTCCTTTACAAATCCTATACAGGTATTTCTGATCCCAGGACAGATCTTTCTCCACTTCATCATTAAACACAGGGAAATCAGGGAAACTGACTGGCTGGAAGGCGACAACTGGAAGCTCAGACAAAGACTCCTTGATCTGCTTTCCAATGGGACCACGCCAATGCTCAGGACCACTTGGTTTACCATCATAGTGATAAAAAACTGCGCGGAAAGGCAGCTCATTTCCGTGAAGCTGACATATGAAATAATGGAGCGGGTGACCAAGTAACATTTCAAGATGATGAATGACTCCATTTTCTGATCCTACATTTACATTGGTTCCATCACAACCAACACACACAATGGGCTGCTGGGTTAGATTTTTCTCCACCAGAAACTCGTGAATAGTTTTGGCAATCTGCTTTCCGTGTCCAGTCTTGGGAGTCACATGTGTGAGATATTCATTGCCAGGCTCAACCATGATGACATAATGATCTTTCACCATCATCCTCGAACTCCATTTCTCGGTCTTCTCATTCTTTATCATCACACGAGTGGCGGTCTTCTTACCATCAAAATAGAGTGACGTCAAATTATCTAAACTAGCCATCTCAATTTCTTGCCTCTTAAATCGGTATTTTTGTCTCGCATCCTGCAGCTTATGTGGTCCAATAACCTGACTCTTGTCATCCTTTGTGATAATGCCATAGTCAGTTAAGGTGGCAGTAGCAATGGCAGCTCCAGCATAATCACTAATCAAGTATCGGTCACAAGCGGCAGCCAGTGTAAGGAGTCTTGTCCGGTTCTGTGAACTGGTGTCTGTCAGAGCCCTTGGATCAGAAAAGGCTGATAATCAATATAGACATAGCACCATACTCATCTGCAACAAGACAACTTAAATGAAATAAGAGATATGAAAAAAAAAGTTGATAAACACTGAACAGAACATTGCACCGCCACAGCGGCTGTTTGGCTAGTACTGTAGGTAAATTTAAAAACTTCAGTAGAAAATGCGGCAGACTAAACCTCGACATATCAGCTTCAAATTTGGCATGGAGTCTTAGATATGTATAAGGAACAATGCCTGAAGAGTGCAGCTTTGAGCAAAATTTCACTGCTCCCTATAGTACAGTACAGTAGTACATACAGTATATGCATAATGGTCTTACCTGAGCAGTTTTCTTGTTACGCTCCAGATCCGCCATAAATGTTGATACTGTTTCTTTAATTAGCCAGTGGGTGTCAGGCACATAGCTTCTGCGTGAGTTTCTCTTGTATAAAAGCATGAGGAGGGTGTGTACCGACAGGAAGAGGGCGCTATTCTGAACATTGGTTATATATCCACCAGCCCGTTGCTAATTATCTGCAGGGGAGATGTTATTATAAAACCAATTGTTATGAATGGGAGCATCCGGCTGCAGCCAAAAATTAGTTAATCATTGATCAATTGCCATTCAGCAATAAGGACACCAGATACATTGTTGCTATACCCCTGAATCGGTTCTGCCTAATCCCTTATGTTCTTATCAATTTCCAAA